ATAATGGCCAAGTGTCCTGCCAGGCACTCGAGAGCATAACAAAAATAATCAAAAAAAAAAAAAAAAGTGAAAGTGAAAGAAATAAAAGAAGAAATACCAAAAAGAAAAATTTAAATAAATCAAACCACAAGCCGCTTAGGCTGGCCGCGGAGAGGGTATTGCAGGTCTGCTTTGGTAGACAGGCCAAGTAATTTCCATAATTAATTTCTTTGCGCTCTTTTTCCGCCTTTTTTAACGCATTTTCATAATTCGAGTATCTTTCAATGGGGGCCAAACTCCGTCAAATGCCTGGCAAATGTGGCCGCCCATCATTAATAATCAATTTTGAATTGTGCATGTGGAAAAAAAATATATATAATAGCAAAAAGGGGCAGAAGCCCCTCTCCCACAGACGCACAGACAAACCCCAAACGCACAACAGTTGCAATGCAGGGTGTGCAAAAATTTCAAATCAGAAAATTTGTGGGCCTTAGGCCAGCTAATACATCTGAATGCCCTACCATGTCCAAGTTCTCAAAGGAACTCAGACTAGTCCAGATAATCCTAAGCCGGGCTTGAATTCTTAGCAACTAAAAAATAATCCAAAGTCTATTTGAATTTTTAAACACTTAAAAAACATTTACTAGGTACTTTGACAGCCACTCGTCCAAATAGATTTTAACAGCTGGCTAATTCAGATTGATATTTTATCCTCTTGATAACGCAACTCTACCTTAATCAGTTGACAATTGGTTATAGTTGCATCAAGATATTGTATAAATTGATCAATTATTAAAAATGTATACGAGTATTCACTAACGAAATTGCCAGTGTTGCCAGATGTGCAGTAAGTGGCTGGGTGGCAAGGCTTCAAGCCTTTTTAACATTAGCAGGTTATTTAACTGAAGGAGATTATAAAAGGAATTCAAAACTAGCTAATAAAAATGGCGAGATTTACATCTATCTAAAATATAGATAATACGTTTTCATCTGTAAAATCTAGCCAAATTAAAAGTATGTACCTTACTTTTAGGAAATCGATAGGCCCTAATCAGATTGTAGCGCAAGAAACAGTTCAACAACAAAAAACTCCCCTCCAAAATGTATTTATCCAAAAAAATGCCGGAAAAAATCACGCTTTAATTAACCGCAATTATGTGCGGAGTCGTGGGCGTGCCATGACTCCATCTCCCTTGCTCTCCCCTGCTCTGCCCCCTTGCCAGCCTAGCCTCCACGGCGCTAAGCATCTTGGCCGCAACTCGAGGCAAGAGAGAGAGTCAATAAACCAAATGGTCGACGGTCGCTGGCTAAAAAATCAAGTCAAATTACGTGCTTATGAACGGGAAAATGTCGAAATGATTTACCGTGCATAATCGCCACTTGGCTTAAGCCACCGACCAACCACCCACCCGTCCGTCCGCCCGCCCGTCCGCTCGCCCGACTGGCCAACCAGCCGCTTGCCCATCCGCCGGTCTTTCCCACGTTTCTATCTACAGCAGCAGCTCGCAAGGGCCCGCATCTTGGCCAGCAGCTTCATAGACTTAAAAAAAAGCAAAGAAGTGAATAAAAAAGAAAACACAAAAAGGCATTGGAAAAAGAAAAATTAAAATTTCATTTTCACGTGACGCTGGCCCCGGCATCACGCGGATGTTCTCTCGGGCGGACTCTGGCTCTGACTCCGCGGCCGACTCCTGTTGCCGCTGCTGGCTCTGGTTGCTGCCTTTGCTTCTGCTCCTTGTGTTTGTTTGGCTGTCTGTTTGTTTGCTTGGTTTCATTGTTGTTTGTTTGTTTGTTTGTTTGTTTGTTTACTTAATATCCAACGCCCCGCACAGGCCAGGCCCGCAGCCCGCAGCCCGCTCAAATCCAAATGAAAACAATTTCTTGTCGCTTGCCGTTTTCGCTGGTATTTATTTATTTTATGTTTCAGGTTTTTTTTCGTCCTTTTTTCATTTTCTTATATTTAGAGTTTGCCGAATTTGATGTAAATTTAATTTATTGCCTTTTGAGCAGCGTGTATTTACGTACTTTTAGCTTGACCCCCGACCTTAATTTATTTGCTGTCAACTTTTTCGATGTTTGCCAGCCGATTAAATTGCCGATTAGACTGATTTGCATGAGAATTTATGTGAGCGCATTTCGGTAAATAATTTTATAGCCTGATAAACAACTGTTGTCCAGCAGGAGGGAGAGGGGACGGGAAAGAGAAAGAGAGATAGAGGGGGGGAGAGTAAGTGAAAGGGAAAGAAAGAAAGGAGGGAATTTCAAGAATTTTCTTTTCTTAAAGATATATTTTTAATTTTTTTTCCCACAATAATATGCAATCACTCTCTCTCTCTTTCTCTCTCTCTCTTTCTATCTCTTAAGCCTGTATGAATCAGTCCATATCCATTCCTTTCCAACTATTTTTTTTTTTTTTAAATAACATTTGCTTCTATGGTCTTCTGGCTATATATTTACATTAATCAGGTATTCGAACTCAGTTCCATGAAAAATGTATTATCATTTCCTTGTCTTAAAGTGAGAAAGTATCTTTCTTATTTAACATAATTATTAGTGAAAAATGGTAATAGGCTACTTTTTAAAGTATGTTGATGCATTTTTAAGAACTTTTCTCATATGAAATAGAATAAATCTTGAGGTGTATTCAATATAAATATACTAATTTAAGAAATCTAAAAAAATAACAAATAATTTTCAATTAAAAATTCAAATATAATTTTAGTAATTCAAATCTTTTCTTAGCTTCTGTTAAGCTAAAGCTCAGAAGAGTTTTCTTCTTCTATTCATTTATCATATAAACGTAATATCATTGAGATTTTTGAGAAAAAAGAAAGTTTAAGGAAGAACTAAATATAATTCATAGCTCCCTTTTGATAAGCACTTGGAACTGTGCCCTACTTAAACTATTTAAATTCTTTCTCTTCAACTCTTTCGTTTAGTTCCCATTTAAATCATGTTGCACATTAAAACATTTATCATTCAGGGGGCAGGCGGCCCCCTTCTCTCTATCATTATTATTATACTTTTATTTATTTTTTTCAGGGCATTTGCTACGCTTTCCGAGACATTCATCTATGCTCAGATCCTTTGAGACAGGGGCTACAATTCAACCCTTAATAGACAGCCAAATGCCATAAACAAATCTATAAAGCTGCTGTCCTGCTGCGTGTGTGTGTGTGTGTATGATTAATGTGTGTCTGCATTTATGTGTGTATGTGTGTTAGAGTCCTGTTGCGCCCTTCTGCTGCTGCTGCCTTGTACCTCGTGCCTCGTGTCTCGTGCCCTGCGCCTGTCATCAGGTGCATTTAATTGCGCGATTTTCGCGCCCACTAGAAAACGCGACGTTGGCCTCGAACTAATTGGCCCTTACACATGGCCATAAATTAATACATTTTAAGTTTAATTGTCTAAGCTGTAAGCAAAAGCCAGCGGCTGGCAATGGGCCGAGTGGCTGGCGGCTGGTGCCTGGGGACTGTGGGGCTGGTGTCGGGGATCAGGAATCGGGTTTACGGGGGGCGGTGCTGTCTCATTAATGCCTGTGGGCTCATTATAATAATTAAGGCTAATTTATGATGTCATTAATTTTAAATATACATGTGTACCTGAATATATGCATGCATATGTGTACATGTTCCGGTCAATCCTTGGTCGCGACAGGGTTAATGTGTGTGCGAGTGTGTATGTATGTATGTGTGTGTGTGTGTGTGTGTGTGTGAGTGGGTGTTAAATGACCGAATGATTAGATAATGCCCATGCAACCACATGAACAAGTGTCTGGAGACTGTTGTAAATGCCGTAGTCCATGGTCCGATATATTCATATAAAGTATTATATTGAACAATATTTAAATAAATGCAATACTTAAAAGTTTTATTGCATTTTGTAGCAGAATTAAAAAAAAAAAAATAATGCTAATAAAAGTTATGCTCAATTCGTTCAAAGTGCTTCAATACTTGCAGTGCAATCGGCTTAAGAACTTGCCTTCATTTCAAATTTGTAAGAGTAAAAACCATTAATAAGCATTTTTGCATAACAAAAAGCAAGGTAAATTGGTTATTTAAATACAAGATTTTGATTTATTTTAAGTTTCTGTAAAAAGCCATAGTTTATTTTTCTACAGTTTTCCTATAGAAAATCATCAACTCGGATGGGCAAGTAAATATATCTTTGAGTTGCTGATGCAGCTCGAATTATTTGAGGCTCGCATAACACGTTGTTTGCGTAAATGTGGACTTGTATTTGTTTATAATTTGTTCAGACACACTTTTACACACTCACACACACACACAGACACACACATTTACACACAAGCCAAACCTACTCATTATTAAGTTAATTTCCGGCTGGCTTAATGTGATGCTGTCTCAAATGTTTTTGACTTGGTCGCTCGCTTTGTCGGCCCGCTGCACATCATAAAATTTATCAAAATATGAAAATCACACACTTGGCACACACATCGACCCACACACACACACACACAGTTGAAGCACCCTCTTGCGGGTCTCAAGTGCAAGCCGAGCGCTTAATTAGCCCCGTCGTGTGAATTGTTTAACATTTTTGGGACCTCACGGCGTATACACGTTGCTTTTTATGATTTTCACACTTTGCCGGGCTGTTGCCCGGCTGCAAAATTTAATTACCACACTGCGGCCGGGTCGGCTGTTGGGCCAGCACCAGGAGCAGGGGCAAGTGTACTGGATCCATGTGCGGGCAGCGGGCCGCGGGACGAGATCAACCCACTTGGCGTGCAAATTACGCATGTAGACCGAACCACTTGATTGGCGTTTTCAAGGGTCACACTCGCACACTTGAAACCGTCCGCCTCCTGGTCCTGGCTTTTTCACATTCACCTCTCCCTCTCCATCTCCGTCTCTCTCTCTCTCTCTCTCTCTCTCTCTTTCTCTCTCTCCTCGCAATTGAAGGCTCACTTTCAACCGTGTGATAAGAGCACTTGGGCGACCGCTCTGGATTGGGTCGCGACCTGACCACAAGCTCTGATTAGTTAAATAAATAAACAGTAATTAAATATCCTTGTACACATTTAACAAAGAACGATATCATATTAAGCGTCGTCTTCTTGCTATAACTAAATTTTCGGCTTCCCATAGCAAATGCAGTTCCAAAGCATAAGCTTGCTTGTCCTTTCGTAGCTTTTAATACCCAAGTGGTTCGGACTAGCTTCGGACTGGAAATATAAAAGATAAAAATGCTTTGGCTTATGAAGAGAAAATATCTTAAATACACGCACATATGTATATAACTATGTATGTTTATGCATGTGTGTGTATGTATGTATGTACGTACATTTAAGTGCTGCTTTTCTCCTCGATTCTCATGAATCCGGCAGGTTTCCTAATATTTAGTAAATGTTTTTTTTGTACCAAATGCCTTATATAAGACAAATTCCCTTGCCAAGCCTTAGAGCCACAACGAAACAACTATCTTGTAAAAAATATGAGGACTTTAGTTTATTTGTAACGTAAGTTGTTTGCTGTAATGGAGAGGTATTCTTTGGTGGGAACTAGCCTAGCCAGCATGTGTATTCATTTATCAAGTATAAACAGAATTACATAACCAAAAGAATACAGTTCAAAATAAAACCAATTAAGGGGGTCATAAATGAAATTCTTAATGTTTTAAAAAAGAAAGATTACTTAATCATGTTTTTTTTTTAAGACTTCTCAGTTGCTTCCCCACAAAGTATATAGAAAACATGCCAACATTATCGGGCCGTATAGTCAGGGGTCACATTTGTGGCCGGGACATTAACAGAACTCGTTACGAGCTGCCGGCTTGACGGTTTGTGTGTTGGGGGGAGGTGGTGGGTGCCGGGGTCTGGTTTGTCGCACTGTGGTTTTTACACCTTTTGCGCCTTTGTCAACATTTTAATGACAGCAATTCACAATATTCTGGAGCCGCTGATTGCGCTCATGATACCTGGCATTGTCTGCGACGGCTAGCAGCAGTAGCAGGAGGAGCAGGAGCAGGTCCTGGGCCCAACACAACCCCCGTGTTCCCTTCTGGTGTTGCGTAATGTGTTTGAAGTTTGTTTGTGCGCCAGATAAGTGTCATATTTAATTTTTTCCTGCTGTCGCATTTTATTGTTGCATATTCATGACCAAGCAGCGAGTGAGAGGTTGGCAAGGGGCGCGGCGATGTTTAACAGCTAGCAGCTCTTATCTTTTTTATGTTTCAACTTTTCTTGCCAGCAGTTTACACGAAACACGGCCCCCAACAAGTTTTACCAGTTGTCGATGAAACAGCAGAAGCCGCCACACAGTGGAGAAGCTGTCCCAGTCCAGTTTCATATATTTTAACAGAATTTCTCATTTAAACTGCGAGTATCTAAAACCTTGATAGAGTTGATACCCCAAAGAAGTGGGTTCAAGAGCTCTTCATATATGCATAACATAATGGGTCAAGAAGTCACATAAGATTGCTTTTGATCTTGTTACTGAGGTACATGTTATCATTCAGCATTAACAAGCTGCTGAATGTGTTGGTAAAAAGAGAAGTGGAAGGCACTTTTGCACAAAAAATAGACATTACATTTATTTAAAGTAAGTTTGAAAAAAAAAAATACATCCAGGTATTCAGTCGCGATTTTCCAAAACTAACATAAAGCTATAAGAAAGCATCAGATTGGTAGTAAAAACATTTCAGTTGTATTTTTGTAAAAAAAAATCCAGCAATAACTTTTGTATAAGAATTTGATATTCGAACAACAATTATACAATTAGCAATTAACACATTGAAAGAAAAGTATATTGGCTTAAGATAAGTTTGCAAATTGATAACTCTATCATAATACATAACGTGAGAGTCTACAGTTTGAAGGATTATTTTGGAACTACAAATGCCGACGCATTAGAAACGTGGCCATAGTCAACAAGCTGCTGAATGTGTTGGTAAGAGAAGAACTCACTTTTGGAAAGAATATCGAAATGAAATTATGAAAATCTTTAAACAATTATGATCTTAGCGATTCCGTCACGATCTTCCAAAACTAACACAAATATATAGGAAAACATATTTGAAGATGAAGAAAGTATCTAAGTAAAAAAAATATTTATTTAATAAAAATAACAGATTTAAGTTTGAGAAATATCGATTATTTTCGACCTGTTGGGAAAAGGTAAAAAGAAGTCATTCAAAATAAATAGCGGTAGACTTAAACAAAAGTTGACAAAAACAAATGGTCGGCGATTCCGTCGCCGTTTTCTAAAACTAACATAAATAAATTTAAAAAAATATAATAAAATTCATATAATAAACGTTCCTAAGCCGTGTGTCGATTATAAAACGTTAATTTAATACAAATTGCAATGAGATTAAAAATGCTTCCAAATAATACAGTATAAAGGATATGGTGCTTGAAAAAGTCGCGAGAAGAACAACAAGTCGCTGAATGTGTTGGTAAAAAGAGAAGTTTACGACACTTTTGCATAGATAAAATAAAATGTTTGTTAAGTTACATAAATAGAAAAAGAAAGAAACTTAAATAATGATCCATTCAAGAGCTGAATAAACGTCCGATTCACACATTGAACAAATCAACAAGTTTGGCAACACATTTGCAAAGTTTCGACCGCACAATCAGGCTAAATTCAAAACATTTTATCAACAGAAATATGAAAATACAAAATTTGAATGAAAGAAATAAATTGCAGCATTCAAGCAAAAGGAGAAAAACGGTAACCAAAAAATACAAAATGTTCAAACAAAAAGAAATAAAGTATAAAAAAGAAATAAAATAAAATAATGAGCTAAAAGCAAATAGAGCTCTTTACTCGATGAGTTCCGGAAGGAGACTGAACTGGTCTGGTGTCCACATTTAGGGGTTCGAGTTTCCTTTGAAATTTCTCTGGCCAGAGTAGGCTCTGCTCTAGAGATAGAGTTAGAGATTAGATACATTAGTCGAAACAAGAGCAGCTCTGCTAGATGTGATCGATTGTTGTATCGTTAATCGATATGTTAAACAAGGCATGCATATATCTATGCATATATGCATATCGTAAGCTTAACTCTGTGTCTGTATAGGATTGTAGCAACAGAATCTCTTTACAGCAAGTTACCTTTCTTAAACGTATCATATCTATTAGCCGCTGCTTGACACATGTGAAACCATTAATTTTCCCCCCCTTGGAAAGAGCGGATAAAAAAAACGCAGGACAACTGAGCCGTTGAGTTTGTCATTTAATTTAATTTGACTGGCAAAAGTCTGGAACGTTATAAAGCTGTCTGAGAACTTCGCAGAGCCCGTGGCGCAATGCAGACCATTCGCTGGGAAGTGTCACGCACATGTAGGACTCACTCCTGCTGCGCATCGTGCCTGACCTCCCTGCAGATATACTTGATATGCTTATCCTGCTCACATGTGTCTGGAGACAACTTCATAGTAGATTTCACGTGCCTTGTCAAAAGGAATTTAAATAATGACAAACGACGTTCGCCAAAGTCAAAGATGAGCACAGACCAAAAGCAGTGCCCTGCCTCCACCTCCCTCCTGCTGCCTTGAAAGAAAAGAACCGCAGCTAAGATAAAAAATTGCGGTTGTCTTAACTTGGGGCCAAGTTTCCGGCTGTTGAAAATTCTAATGTTGTCACATTTGCATCTAGCCATGTGTGTCTGTGCGTGTGTGAGAGATCACGTAGCACGCGGCAGATTGCATTGGGATTGGTTCGGTGCTCTGCTGAAGCAACTTGAATATACATTTTCTGCTGCCCTCTTGTTTTTTTTCCACATTATTGCGATTTAGTTTTATTTTGTCATATGCCCTATAGGAAGTATACACATGTAGTACAGCTAAAGTGTAACCTGAGTATTATAAGAATCTTTAGATATATTTTGCATGTCAAATTGTCTCTCTGTGTTTTGAGAACTTAATTAGCTCTCAGTATTTTATATAGAACTTGCTTTATATATCAAAACACCTGAATCGCTTTACTGTTTCCCTTAGCTGAAGTCGTACAGCTCTTCGCAGGCTTTTCTCTCCTTTTACCACTGCAGAGCATCATATAGTCGCATAACCCAAACGTTTTTTTTTTTGCTACACATTTTTTCCGCTTTATTTTTGATTTATGGCACACACGCATCTAAAACAACAACAACCACAAAAAAACAACAACAACAACAAAAACAGAAACACAAAAAAGTAAACGCTTTTCTTCGGCATCGCCCGCAACGGAATTATTTAGTATTTGGCATTGTTTGGGGCTAGTTTTTAATAGAAATATAAAAACGAAATGAAATTTATGACGGAAATGATAAGAGTGCACACACACACACACACACATATATATATATATATACAGAAGGATAGAAATAGGCAACAAAGATATCTCATAACTGGCTAAACAAAAACTTTTTGCCCAAAAACATTTCTATTTGCAGTTTCCGTTTGTTTTGCAGCTATTTGAAATATTTTTTTGCCAACTGTCCAGCGGAAACGGATGCGGCCATTGTTGAACATGAACAAACACACCCACACGTACACACAAACACACACACACACACACACACTCGCATAGAGGATTAATGCTAACAACAAATATAACTTTATTAAAAAAATAAATGAAATTTGTGCACTGGTTGCTGGCTGAGTACGGAAAAGGATTTCGCTTCGAAGCATTTGGCCGCAAAACAAAAACTAAGTTAAAACAAAATCAAAAAAAAAAAAAAACTCGGCACCAAAACTATGCAAAGAATTTCCAAGTTGAGACAAAGGCCTATTGCCAGAGTTCTGGCTGCAGCTGCTCCAGGCCGACCTGGCTCGTATAGCCCTTTGCCATTTTTGGAGCATACTTTGAATTGTTGTCCTTGTAAGGGTGTGTGTGTGTGTGTGTGTGTGCGAGTGTGTGTGTGTGTGTGAGTAACCTGAGGCAACGGCAGGAGCTGCGGCTCCTGCTGCTTAAGGCTTGTTGAAAGCATTTCTGACATTACAGCTGACCCAAAACTGGTCAGGACCTGCACAGATAGCGTCATAGGACACACATGAGCGCCTCATCAAGTGTGAATGTGTGAGCGTGCATGCGTGTGTGTGTGTGTGTGTGTGTGTACGTTAAACGGAAAACGGAAACGGATATGGCTGCTGGACAACAGCTCGGTCTACGTTTGGCCATTCTGGACTGGGCACTGGCCAAAAGGCGTAAACGGGATTAATTGAATTGAATAATTACATACACAAACATGCAACAACAACAACAACAGCAACTACAACAAATAGAAATTTGTCATGTAGGAGGTCCTTTGCTCTGCTTTGGATTACTTGTACTGTGTTCCTCTTTTTGCATTTCTGACAGAGGTTCCATTGAAAGATTCGAAATGATTTCTTTGTTTTATCATTTTATATTTATTCTTATTTGCATTTATTGAATATTTTGATATTAAAGTGTATTTAATGAATAATACCTAAAACCTTAAATGAAGCATCTAGACTGCACAGCTATTCTGTCTGCAGTAAAACGGACTGTTAAATCGCGAGATTAGTTTTTGTTTTTGGCTGGAAGAGTTTTGAGTTTTGGCTAAAAGATTAAGTTAAGGTTTAGCTGCCCTATTAAGCGAAAGATCTCAGTTTTCTGTTCAACAAGAATCCTTTTACTCAAGCTAAGCTCTGGCTCATGATCTTCTCATTCAAAGAATACGCATAAAAGGATACATAAATGCATCGAAATACGCTTATTTAACGAATCGGGCTTGGCCGTAAATAAAAGTATTATTAAATTGAATTATTTTTAGCCATGGCTACATAAAGTTAAAATACCCTTTATGTTCATTTATGGAAACAAGCCGAACAAACTTGGTGCAACACTTGTCGATGACTTGTTTGTTTCTCTCCGTCCCCTCTGCCGCACTGGCCCGGCCATTCTCAGTCCGTTTCACTCTAGTTGTTAAATGGCTAATTTGTTTTGTTGCATGTTGTTGTTAGTTACAGCTGCCACAAAATGTGCCCAAGTGCCGCGCCCCTTGGTCAGCATCCACAAGCCGAAAGGGTTTCAACTGCCCGCCGATGCTGTCAAGGACATTTGTCATAATTTACCAACACATTTACGCATTGCTGTGTGCCCCGAGTGTCCAACATGTGTGTGTGTGTGTGTGTGTGTGTGTGTGTGGGTGTGTGCGGGTGGTGTGTGTCTTGTGTGTGATTTGTGTTCATTGGCTTAAATGCCTTGTGACGCAGTTCTGTTATTAGTCTAAACACCTGTGGCACATGCCGCATACGAATGTGACACAAGCACTCGCATTGCATTAATTATCCTTATGCCATACAGGATAATGATAATGATGGCGATGTGGATGAGGATGAGGTTACTTCACTTGCTGGCGACACAACTTAGTTAGCTTAGCTGTCTCTTTGAATACTAATTAGCTTGCCCCAAACTAAATATGTGGTTCCTCTTTGATTCTGGGACTCTATGCTGCATGTGTCCTGCTGTTAAACATTTTTGAATTCTATGCTTTTTCTGTAATACGAAAAGCTTTGAAAAGGTTTAAATATTCCGAGCCTTACAGCCTTATAAGAATGTTCAGTGGTCACTCGGTAAGTTGATCAAAACTTTTTAAGTCTCAAGTTTGGGCAGGTAAATTTCAAATAACTTTCTGAAGCGCTTTCAAGGCAGCTTGAACATGACTTGTGCCAGGTAACTTATATTAGGAAGTTTGTTTTGTACGATATTATCATTTGATGCAGTAAAATATTATAATAAATATATTCTTATGGCAGACCAAAGCCCGAAGCTTGCCGGTTAAGAGTGTTGCTTAGACATCTACTTTGCAACCCCTCAAAATCTGCTGGCATATTTGCATTAAAGCTAATTAGACGCACTCTCTGGCAATTAAAATAAAAATAATTATGTATCTTCGGATTTGAAAACATTTTCGGGCATACCAGATTTTATGGCTCTATATACGAAAGCAGATATATGTCTGTGATTATGTTGGAGATTCGCCCCAAGTTGGCATTCGCTTGACATTTTCCGGGCTCATTTATGTTGAACTCTTATTAATTCGATTTTTATCGTGCCCCTGGGAGTCATTG